TTTAGGGTTAGTAGAATAAGTTGACAAAGAAAGTGTTAGAAGATATTAAGCAGACAGTCTACTAATACTCTACTACTAGTTGACATGTAGTTGCAAAGATACTTGCTGTTAATAGAATGTCTAAAGTGGACTATCGAAATAAAGTGTTACCTAATTTTATTTTAGCTGTTCATGCATTTTTATTAATCACTATTCAGATTTTGTTATTAGAGTTTTATTCACGTATGCTAATATGAATCTAATATGAGCTTTCATTTTAAAGATATGACAGCATTTGCTTATGCAACTTTTAAACTGAGATCATCTGTTGAGCTGAGCAATGATGAAATCATTACATATATTGAAAAGGTGAGCTATTATTTTGTTATTAACATTTTTTGTCTAATTGTAAGCATTACGTTGTTGCCGAACTGTTGAAGAATGAACAACAAAACACATATCAAGCAAGCAATTACGATGGAAATTTCATGTACCCAGGGCAGGAAAACAACAACTCTCTGTTTAGAATGTGACATCTGAGAAAGAGTTGGCTGACAGCAGAATAATTAGATATAGAAGCTGTTGTTTTATTTTGTAGGTAAATTAACAGATGTTACTTTACTTTTTTTTTCATTGCAGTTTGTCAAGCACTTTCAATCAAACATTAGTGGGACCATCAGGATTACTGTGAAGAAATCAAGAAAATTGTTGGCCTAAGGATCTGATGGAAAACTTGTGACTGACCACATGCCATCCTCTTCATCAATCTCTGAAAGTTCTCTCCTGAGCCAAAGCGAGTGCCCCCTCGATGACTAGACCCGTGAGTTTTTGGACTTAGCGTACCATGCACAGTTTCTGGACAGCTCACTCATTACCTACTTCCGTACTGGACTCAATGAGCCATTAAAAACACAACTACTCAGTTATGGTCCTCGCTATGGTCCTAACCCCCAGTGCTCTCAAGCCCACCATTCCTTCCACAGTCCACTGCGCTTCCCATAATGCCGGTTGCCATCTTGTGTCTGGACCGTACACACTTCCCCCGAGGCGGTGGCGACCGCTACAAACTGCTGTCTATTATTCCATTTAATTATTTTCTTTGTATCTCTTTTTTTTTGTTTTGAGATATTGCAAGAGGAGATGCTCTAAGTACCTCAGGAATACATGTTAAATCCTCTTATTCTCAGAAAACCAGACAGGTACAAAAAAATTTCAGCTAAGTAGGATGTCAGAAATACTTATATACATTTTTCTTGTACATTTTTTTTTCTGCGACAGAAAATACATCTGTCCACACCAGGGTGTATTATGCCTATTGGGCCTATATATGGATTCAGCCTTATTTTGTATGTTTTATCAAAATTAAGATATTGCCATGATCTCCAACTGGAGTGGCTATGAACTCCACCAGAGGGCACTCCACCTCTGACTCTTGCCACTCTATCCCAGACTACATTTCACATAATCCTTTGCCGGAGTCATCATCTCTGATTGCATTCACCTTGTCTTGTTTCCTCGTCAGTTTCACCCTATTTATAGCCTGGTTACCCATTCATTCACTGCTCAGTATTGTTAGCCTGTAGCGTTCCCGTGTTTCCCTAGTTTTCCTAGTTCCTTGTTGCCTTGCCTTGTTTGGACCCTGGACTGTTTCCTTGTTTCTGATTGTTTGCTGCCTGCCCTGACCCTTGCCCATTTTGTGGATTACTCTTTTGTCTGCCCTGGATTATATCTGTTTGCTGTTGTTTGACCCTGCCTGTTTGACCACACTTTTGAATAAAAGACTGCATTTGGATCCACTGCTCCGTTGTCACGTCTCCCACATTACAGATATAATTTACACTTGAATAGTTTTATTAAACAACGAAATTAAATAGTCTTCAGATTGTATAATTTATTTCAATGCTTACAGTCTATATTTATTTATTAGGTCATAGGCATAAACGAGGATGCATGATTGCATTCGAGTGTGTGGTGGGAGGGTGTGTGTGCTCATGGGTATGTATTTGTGCTCACGTATGATACTGGTTTTAATTGTTTTAAATAAAAGTTGGCCATTTTTAAATTAATAAAATGAGTTTCGAGACATAGAATGTGGTGTTTTTCAAATGTCCTTTCTATTGTTGTTATTTAATGTTCCAAGACTTCCGATGCAAAAGCCTCATCTGTCAAAAATGAGCTAACAATATTGGGTGAATTCTCTCTACACATAATATACCATCATAAAATACTTTAACTTCCAACCAGGTAAATCCCAGCCTCAACCTATTCAGAAGTACAGACAGAAACCTATTCATAGTCAAGGTGTCTGATAATGTTAATTTTGATTAAAAACATCAGACGGACTTCTTAAGCCTTCTTATGTGTATTCATACCAGTTGCACTTAGTAAACATTTTAAAAACATGTTTTTTCAGACCAAACAATGAGTTCTATTGAATCACTTTTTATACCATTGTTGCATGGTGTCCATTACAGTGGACAGATATGTAACTCCCTCAAAATAAAATATATACTTCTTGTTTAAAAGTAAAAACAAGCAATAAAAAAAATATTTTGTGATTTAATAATTCATGCCTGAAAGGGTTAACAGAAAACACTTTTCAAAGTACTACAACAAACGGCTTGTTCAGACTACAGCGTGCTTCTTATTTGATATTGTGAAGTCACAGTGTCACTCATTTAAATAATTCCACTCATGGGTGAGGCCTGGTTGAGCTGCGCTAGAGAAGACGAAGAAGAAGGGCTGCTTTAGTAGCATGTTGTCGCCATTGCGAAGAGACTGTTTTTTCCACCCCGGTTCCAAAACCCCTCTGTTTGGCCTTCCTAAAGCAGACAAACTTATTTTTAACACTGTTCCTAAACTTTATAACCCCAACGTTCATCTGTGTGCTGCACATTTTACAGAGGACAGCTTCCAGAAACTAAGTACAATGCTAGCTATGCACAAAAGCTTCTCCTGCAGCTGTATATTTGCAGTTTTACTGTTGTAATTAAATAATACTATACACTGAATACACATTATCGTTACACCTTTCCTATATACAGTAAAAAAAAAAACCTCTCTGAAACATCCTGCTTGCCAAAATCCGTTCTTGCAAAGGTTCTGCACGATTGTAAACATTCTCAGGGTCTGAATAAAATTGACATCATTGTTATTATTTACAGCTGAGCAGATGAAACTCGTGGTTATGGTAAGGGACGTGACCTCTCCGAAACACACTCTAAGCGGTTCGCTAATCACAACGCACTGGGCCAGCTAACCAACAGTGCTGAGGTCTGTTCTTCGTACCTCGCTTAAAACATCTGAGATGATTTGACTGATGCCAGATCTTTCAGTCATGATAACTGATCTCTGGCTAATTTGGTTCTTCAAACAAGCTAGCGGATTGATTAAAATATCTGGATGAAGTTGTCTGAGATTACACTGTGTTGACATGTTCATTAGAAAGGGCAGATATATGGATACTCGAAACCACGATCAGCAGTGCAGTGATTGGCTGGTGGCAAGACAGCAACGTAATGCCATCATATAATAAAGATCAAGGACACAGCCTAGCGAGCAAAATTACATCAAAGTTATAATATGTAAATAAAATGTGTAACCGTTTTTAAATTATTCACAATCAATTTTCACCCTTTCTAGGGTTTGTACAGGCTTTGCATTTTTCAATGTCAAGAGTGCTGAACTTAGCAGTTCATTTAATTTTGAAGCAGATTTGTTACACGTGACAGCATTAACTAAAGTTCCTTAATCCATAAGATCCATCTTAAGACATAAATGTTGAAATTAATTGTGCATCATGAAAGCATTCTGAGATTTGAGAAGTGAGTCTGCATCTCAAATGAATGCACGGCTCAGACAAACTGTACGTAATGTGTGTATGACTGCAATAAAATTATGAGATAATTATTCCTTCACGGATAAATCTCACAGTGAGTAAAATTGGTTGTGCCTATTATTATAGATTATGCAACATTTTAATTATTTTCAAAATAATCTTAAAATTATTTTTCCTGATTTAATAAGGTACACTTGAAAGAAAATAGGGGCTAGAACAGAACAAATGATACAATCTAATCCTGTTTATGTGAAATAAGTTGCTCCAGAGCAGGTTTGAGCTCATGGACCTGTTGCTATGACAACAACTCCGGGATGAGCTTCAGAGAACCTAACAATCTTCGATCATGTCAAATCACCAACAATAAAATCCAGCTAACTGAGTAATCCACATACGAAGAACGGACCCCTGGGTAGATTAATTACAAATTGTAGTTCGTTACTGATTACAAATTATATTATGAAAACTGTAGTGCGTAACGTAACCTATAGGTTACTCATTTTGGGTAATGCATTCCGACTACTTTTTAGATAACTTTTTCTCAAACTTGTTTCAAACTTACCATTAAGTGTAACGTATTGATATAAAAAAGCAAAGAGAAAAAAATGTATTCCATTTTTTGATATCAACATCATAAAATGCATTAAACATTACATTGCATCAGGGTTTCCCCAAACTGGGCTTAATGTAAGAACTGCAGTGGGTATATGAGTTGATAAAAAGCTAATAATTAATTAATTCATAAAAAATGTCAAATAAAAATAATTTAAAAGCTTGAACGCTTTTATTTGTTTACCTGCATGCCTATGTGACCATAAACCGACATCAGAGTACTGTAAGCATGTGAATGTGTTGTTAAATTATTGAAATTTTAACTTCCTCAGAGATATTTCAAGTAAATATTTTATTTTAATGGGTTTGGTTGACCAAAAAAAAATGTACTGCCATTTTGTGAATAATAGGTAATCATGCAATCCATAAAAAGGTAACTGTAAACTGATTATGAGCATTTAAAAATGTAATATACTCTAATTACAAATACTTTATTTTTGGAAACTGATTGTGTAATCCAGAGTACGTCACTACCCATCACTGTTAACAAATCAAACCACATTGTATGGTTTAATATACAACAAATGGAATGAGCGAGCATCTCCGGTATTGCCAGAAGAGAACAATAAGAAACAAAACAAACATGACACACATATACAGGAATATTCTGAATAGATACATTTCATCTTTTGTTTGGAATAAACTGGAATAATCAGATTAATTGTAATGTGCATGTGAAGGAAATTCCTACAGCTGACTCACAGAGGGAGCTGCCTCTTTAATTGCATTCTTCTGACGCCTTGATGAAGAACATAAATGCCCTGTCTAGTGGCATATTTGAGGACTATTAATTGATAGTACTGACCGACATAACTTCCAGATGCATCTGGAAGCAAACAAATTCATGTCTGAAGTATATTTAAACAGGCAGGCACTTCACAAATTCAGTTGTTCAAATTCGGCAGAATATTCAGCATTGCACACCCGCAGGAGTACCAATGCATGATCTCCATCTGCTGTAAGTCGCTCACCAGCATGTGGTGCAAGCAGCTGTTGACGAAGCAACAGGTAGAGCAAGTCATTCATTCACAACATGTGGAAAAGCTGATTAAAGCCCGGTATACACTGCACGATTTTAGCAATCCTATAAGATCATTACTTTATCACACTGTGCGACATGGATCGTTTAAACTTGGGTACGACAAGCATGTAGACTGTACGATGATGACACCTATTGAATCGTAGGCTGCGACGGCTGCGACACACGTTAGCGCAATGTCATCAGCATGCGCTAGTGGTAAACAAATACCGGTACATCAAGATGGATCGCGCTTTGG